CATGCATCAGTATTCATCTATTAGTCATACAATTCACTATTTTAACTCTGCAACTATCAAGAGTTACTCTTTGTTGTGGTTTAGATTCAACAGACAGCAATGTTTTCTCTCAGGTATGAAGACAAGGAATGGACACAGCAGAAATACGAGCTCGGAGGGCAGCACTCTTACACACAAATGTATGGCAGAATACTACTCCTAATTTTAATGGGGAAATCTTATAACAAAATTCTGTACACATCCAAAAAGGGGTTGTCTTCACATAATACAGTCATGTCCAGTCAAATGCGTCTTCAAAGAACTTAAAGGACCACTATAGTGCCAGGAAAACATACTCGTTTTCCTGGCACTATAGTGCCCTGAGGGTGCCCTCACCCTCAGGGACCCCCTCCCGCCCGGCTCTGGAAAGGGGTAAAACGTACCTTTTTCCAGCGCTGGGCGGGGAGCTCTCTGACTTCGATCCTCCTCCGTTCCTCCCCGTCGGCTGAATGCGCACGCGCGGCAAGAGCTGCGTGCGCATTCAGCCGGTCGCAGAGGAAAGCATTATCAATGCTTTCCTATGGACGCTTGCGTGCTCTCACTGTGATTTTCACAGTGAGAATCACGAAGCGCCTCTAGCGGCTGTCAATTAGACAGCCGCTAGAGGCTTTGGGGGAAGGCTTAATCCATTTATAAACATAGCAGTTTCTCTGAAACTGCTATGTTTATAAAAAAATGGGTTAACCCTAGCTGGACCTGGCACCCAGACCACTTCATTAAGCTGAAGTGGTATGGGTGCCTAGAGTGGTCCTTTAAAGCACAGTCATAAAGACAAAGTGTTAACATGATATGAAGTGAAGGGGGGGGGGGAAACAAGAAGAAGATACAAATAAGGATCAAAGGCCAGCTGTTATAATAGAGCATCCTGACATTACTCAATCAACTGTGTGATGTGACACAGGATATAAAGGGGAAAGGTGCTCATTAACCCATATCACTACGATCTTTTATTCTGAAAGAATAACATATCAGAAAATTAATTAATTATCAATAATAGCCCTCAGCGCAGAAAAAAAATGGCAGAACCATTATTTCTGAAGAAAATCTGCGTGGAGCCATTGCTATAACTAGACCGTCCCTCCCTCCTGGACGAATTAAGGGTTTATAAACAATTAGCTGAATTTAGGGCTTGGTAAAAATTCTTTGCTGTTCTAATAAAATGATTGCCTGTTTCCCATGATGAAGGGGATAAAGCCCGCTTAGAGTGAGATATATTAATAACATCTTTTACTATCTTGTTGTTCTTTGGGACCAAATAATATTTATCAGTGCATAACTGTTGTGGAAATAAGGTCTGCACATATTTCCTAGTTAGTGAAAATGTCTATTTACTCATTCCACGATATATTATATCTAAAGCTGAGCACACATGTTTTAATCAAAATGGCTGCTAGAAGCTTCTAACCCCTCCTCCCCCCCCTTCCATTCTTAACACCAACTAACTACCTCGTGCAGCAAGATGGCGCCGGGAAACCGTGGGAGACCCTCATGGCCCCGGTGACATCACTTCAGTAGGCAGAGCATTAGAGCAACCACTTAACACCTAACCAATAATTGATGTATTATTCCATGTTATCTCTGACAATGCTTATGATGTAATTTTGCTTTAAAAGGGACCTGCCGTCCCCTCTGAATAAACTTTTCCTCAAGTTATTCAACAACCTGGAACCTGTGTCTGGTGTGAATTACTTCAGGGAGCGTGCACGCATTGTTTCACTGATTTGGCCAGTGGCAGATACACAAAGAAATAATCAATACTTTGATTGCTTTTTCCATTTCAATTGGCGCCCAACGTGGGGTCACCGGAGAGCCGGTTCGGAGGGCCGGAACCAACGGACCGGAGCGGACCTCCGGAAAGTGGAACAAGCGGAGCCTGATCACCTCCATAATACAGCCGTTGCCTGTGTTGTTCTCCTGTTTTGTGTCGGTCTGTCTCCGAGTCCACTTCCGGCTTCCAGAAGGCTACTAGAGACAGGTAATTAACTCATCCGGTGTGCCCTTTTAAAGTGAACCTGTCGGTTGTCTATCTGCCTCCTGTATTCATTTATATGTGTGTGTGTTTCTCCTTCTTTTAAAATATGTTTGCTTGACTGCCTAGCGGGCAGGGAACGCATTTTATATGTTTGCTTGACTGCCTATGTTTGCTTGACTGCCTAGCGGGCAGGGAACGCATTTTATATGTTTGCTTGACTGCCTAGCAGGCAGGGAACGCATTTTATATGTTTGCTTGACTGCCTAGCGGGCAGGGAACGCATTTTATATGTTTGCTTGACTGCCTAGCGGGCAGGGAACGCATTTTATGTTTGCTTGACTGCCTAGCGGGCAGGGAACGCATTACAGCCGGTGGGGTTGGGATTTTATGTTAGCTTGACTGCCTAGCGGGCAGGGAACGCATTACAGCCGGTGGGGCTGGGATTTTATGTTAGCTTGACTGCCTAGCGGGCAGGGAACGCATTACAGCCGGTGGGGCTGGGATTTTATGTTAGCTTGACTGCCTAGCGGGCAGGGAACGCATTACAGCCGGTGGGGCTGGGATTTTATGTTAGCTTGACTGCCTAGCGGGCAGGGAACGCATTACAGCCGGTGGGGCTGGGATTTTATGTTAGCTTGACTGCCTAGCGGGCAGGGAACGCATTACAGCCGGTGGGGCTGGGATTTTATGTTAGCTTGACTGCCTAGCGGGCAGGGAACGCATTACAGCCGGTGGGGCTGGGATTTTATGTTAGCTTGACTGCCTAGCGGGCAGGGAACGCATTACAGCCGGTGGGGCTGGGATTTTATGTTAGCTTGACTGCCTAGCGGGCAGGGAACGCATTACAGCCGGTGGGGCTGGGATTTTGTTTGATTATTGCAGTGTTTTCATTGGTACCTGTGTTATACCGGGACCAGCCTGGTGGGTGGCGGCTGGGGATTGCTATACTTTGAATATTTGGCACCAGTGGTGTTAACATGTACATGGCCATTTTACTCTCTATCATTCTGTGGTTTCTGTTTAATTGTTGTTACAGTGTGGGTACCCTTGGTGTGTGTGTGTGTGTATTGTGTGGTTAGTTCTGGATTCCCGAGTTTACGCTCATTTATATGTTTGTGATTTTTGCAAATGTCTTCTCATTAGCGCAGCCACGTTCAGTTTCTCCTTTGTTCTTTATCTCTCCTGTGCCTGTTGCCCAGAGCTGTGTTAGTCACCCACGCTCATTCGCTCCCGTCCGTGACCACCACCCCGGGTGGGCGGATCTCCGTGACTGGTCTACGTTTGGGGAAGACGCACGGGGCTCAAGTTCTCGTGGCAGTCGAGCACTGTAGACATTCTTTTTCCTTTTTCCCTTGTACCTCCTCTATTTATCTGTCTTTAGCGCGTGGCACGCTTCGTTTACTCAAGATGGGACAGGAACACGCTAGACCTGCTAAGGGCTTGCTGGCTTGTGACATTGTGAAAGAAAGGGCAGGGGAAGATGCAATGTTGAAACTTAAAAAGATTGCTAAGGTGTGTGGCTTCCAGATGTTGCCCAGTGGGAGATTGCAGCCTGAGTTTTGGAGGAAGTTACTCATAGACAAGGAAGGGTTGTTGTTGGATAATGGACTCACAAAGGTTGCAGAGGCTTGGTATCGGGTAGCTAGAGGTCTGAAACGGGAAGGATGGGTCGAGGAAGAGTTGGAGTTTGAGGGGCAAAGCGTGTATGTTTACCATAGGAGTGTTAACAATGATGATGTTGTTTCCATTGTCCCGCGACCACCGCCCTATGATGGCGCCCAGAGCGCAACAGTAAATTCCCGCCCTGCTTCCCCCGTCACAGCACAAACCCCACCCCCCGGGGGTGTGCCTTCAGCTCCCACCCCCCTGTGTCCCGTACTCGGTGCGGATGGTGCTTACTATTACCCAGTGCCACTTCACTCGTTCCCACCCACTCCCATGCACCAACCCCCCTATGACCCAGCCCCCTCCACCAACCATTCTCCCGTCACGTCTGTTGAAGTCCCCCCACCTCCATGTCCTCCGCTACCTCTCCCAGTGCCTGTTCCCACTCCGAATCCTCGTCAAGATCCGTCCTGACTACTCCCGCCTCACCCACCGAAGTTCCCTCCTCTTCCTCCTCTCATCCCCTCTCCACCTCGAGTACCCCATCCCTAGCAGCACCCGCTCCCTCACCCTCCTCGTCTATTACACACCCAACTCCCCTGACCCTTGCCCATTCTATCGACCCCATTCCTCCGGATCCCTGTCCCCCCACGGACCCTCCTTCACCCATACCCCCGGACCCAGACCTTTCCTCTTTTCTCGCAAGCCTTTCGAAATTGACCTGTCCCGTGACCCCTACCCCTTCACCCTCTCTGCCCTTCCCTCCTTCTCATTCCCCTTCGCCCTTCTCCTCCAAGGATCCCTTATCCCTACTCTCCACTCTCATGAATCTTGTCCAGCCCGTTAATCCCGGTCCCCTTGCCTCTGCTCCCTTATGCACAGACACCCCTACCATCCTCCAGGACCCTCCCGCTATCCACCCAGTGTTACCTCCTCCTCCCGAAGTCCCGGCCCCCTCTACCTCATTGCCTCCTCCTCCCTCGGCCGATTTGCCGTCCCTAATCTCTGCCCTCACCGCCCTGACCCAACCCCCCGTTACCACCCCTCCAACCCCTTCTCCAGTGTTACCTCCTCCTCCCGAAGTCCCGGTCCCCTCTACCTCGTTGTCTCCTCCTCCCCCGACTGGTTTGCCGTCCCAACCCTCCACCCACGTTGTTACGACACAGCCCCCTGTTCCCATCCCTCCGACCCCTCCCCCGGTGACCTCTGACCCATCCACGGCCAATGACCTGTCTAGCTCGATATCCGCCCTCTTCTCTGCTGTTACCTCCCTGGTTAATTCCGCGATCCCTGTGCCGCCTCCCACTGATTTACCACCCCCTCCTCCTCCTCCCCCCGAACCTCCGACCCCTTCCTTGTCTCCCACTAGCATCCCCGAGCCTTCCGATCCAATCTCTGCTCTTGCTCATGTCCTAAATACTCACCTCTCATGCCCATCTCAACCGGCCCCCATAACAACCCCTTCCACGGCATTGATTCCTCATGTCCCTTCCGCCAGTCCTAGTTATCCAATCATGGTGGTTGGGTCCGAGGTGTCTGTGACATCGGACCAACCCTATGCGATGGGTGCTTCCCCCCAGGCCTCAGGTTTCCACCCAACTACCTCTCCTATCACCGGCCTCCCTGCCGCCCCCGCCACAGCTACTCCTGAGACTACTCTTCACCGCGGCCCGGTGGTACCCGAGGAGGTCGTTGTGGTGGACCAGGGCTCACCTCGCCTAGGGGGGAACAGGCACCCCCAACGGCACTCTATCCCCCAGGGTTATACCCAGATTAACCATGGAGCGGATGGTGCACCACCCATGTATGTTACCTTCAACCCTTCCCAAGCTGCTACCCTTGTGACCTCACTCCCTGATCCTGAGAAACACCCCATGCCCTTTTTCCGCAGGATGGCCCAGATCCGTAAAACATACTCCGCTGCTTGGCGGGATCTTATTAGTTTGTGTGAAATAAAGGCTGGAGATGCATACTGGCCAATTATGGAACGGAGCTTTAACGACGCTCCACTTACTTCTGATACTGATTTTCGTTCTGGTGAAATTTTCTGTTAACAGCTTCGAGCCTGGGCACAGGATAAACTAGCTGATCAGGCTACTTGCATAAATGACATAATTCAGGATAAACTTGAGACAGTTGAAAAGTATCACTCTAGGTTGACTCAGACTTTTTCAGACTTAGGATTCAGCACCTATAACAAGGCACACACCCAGATGCTATCTGCAGCTTTTGTGGCAGGTCTTAGGGAACACATTCGTAAGGGATTAATTTTAGCTCGTCCTGAGTATAGAATTATTCCACTGGACACTCTTTTGTTGGTATCCAAAGGCTTAGAATCTGTTTTGCAACCCACACAGCGAAGAACCAGTCCTCTGATGTACACTACTTCCACACCAATTGCAGGTTCTAACCAAGTTCCTCAGTTACTCCCCCAACAGTACACTCAGCCACCCCAGACACTGCCAGCACCAATTCCCTTCTCCCGGGACCAGACTATCACGACAATCCGGACCTGTTTTAATTGTAATCAGCCAGGTCACTTTAGAAGAGATTGCCCACACCCTAGAGTGTTCCGCCAACAGGCTCCCCGGTACCCAAGTCCCCATGTCACCGGCTATAACTTCCCCTCCACTGGTTACCTCCCTGCCCTGCCCCATCCACAGTTGCCACAGCTTCCTCCACCTCCTCCTCCTCCTCCTGAATACACCCAAGCCCGGCTCCCTGCATCAGAAGCTCGTGCATACACTTCGCCCTCCGCTGAAGGGTATGACAATGATGATTTCCAAGACAGCCAGCCACAGCCCCGCCACGCCATCCGTCCATCCCGTCCTCCCATGCATTCTACTAACCCTCCCTCCACTTCCCGCCGGTACCAGGGACCAGACCAGGCCCATCTAGATTTATTACAATAGGTAACTGGCAAGCCTGTGTCAGCAACCCCTGCCATGGCAGTGTCTGCGGGGGATGGGGGAGGGCCTTTGGCTACTGTAGTTCTCCCCGTGGAGGGTCACCCAACCACCTTTCTAGTTGACACAGGTGCAGCCCGTAGTGTCCTTAGGGAGCAAGACCTGCCAGACCCTTCCTTCTTATCTGATACCGATGTCTCCTGTGTTGGGGTGGATGGTACACCACGCAGTAACCCCCTTACTAAGCTCCTACACGTAGGATCACACATCCTCTCCCGGTTTGTTGTTTCCTCTACTTGCCCCATTAACCTCCTAGGTGCCGATGTTCTCTCTCGGCTCCAGGCTTCTATTACCTTTACTGCAGATGGTCAAGTTGAGTTGACAACCCCCTTATCACAAAAAGATACCTCTGTCCTCTGCTCACTCCCAATCTTGTTGAACCTAACTGACAATACAGGGAATGCACGGGTCTCACACACCCCCAGTGCTCTGGATCGTATCCCCCAAGAACTTTGGTCCACCGGCCCGGATGATATAGGGCGCTTACATGTACCCCCAGTTTTGGTCCAGCTCCTGCCTGGAGCACTACCTCCTCGTAGACCACAGTATCCTCTGAAGCCAGCACAAGCTGAAGCCATTACCAAACAAGTTGAAAGCCTCCTTGCCAAAGGTGCCCTCATCAAGTGCACATCTCCATGTAACACACCACTTTTCCCTGTTAAAAAGCGAACTATTAAGGGTCAACCCGACCAGTACCGCATGGTGCAGGACCTCCGTGCTGTTAATGAAGTAACCATAAAAGACACTGCTATTGTTCCAAACCCTCACACCCTCTTGTCCCAAGTCCCACCAACTTCCACAATATTCACTGTAGTGGATCTAGCTAATGCCTTTTTCAGTGTCCCCCTTGACCCTTCCGGCCGCTTTCTCTTCGCCTTCACTCATGAAGGACAACAATATACCTGGACTGTTATGCCTCAGGGGGCTCAGAATTCCCCCACACAGTTTGCTCATGCCATGTCCCTGGTTCTGGATCCCTGGCAGAAATCTCATTTGGATGTTGTCCTGCTTCAATATGTTGATGATCTCCTTCTCTGTGCTCCTGATTTGCCCACTGCAGAGCGTGACTCAGAAGATCTCCTATGCTTCCTCGCTGCAGCCGGTTGCAAAGCTTCAAAATCGAAGCTACAATGGTGCCGGCCCTCTGTGGTCATCTTGGGACATTGCCTTTCCCATGGCACCAAACATCTAACTTCTCAACGTGTGCAAGCTATTCTGCAACTCCCTTTACCTGCGACACATCAGACTCTTCATGCCCTTTTGGGTCTTATCACATATTGCAGGTCCTGGATATCCAAAGCATCAAAGCTCATGCAGCCACTCTACGATGCCCTCAGGAGTGAGCCCTTTCACCTCACTGAAGAAACAATCACCTGCTTCCACAATCCGAAAAGAGCTATTGCTTCTGCACCTGCTTTGGGCCTACCCAACTACCAACTTCCTTTCAATTTGTTTGTCTCTGAAAAGTCAGGACATGCCTCCGGAGTCCTTACCCAGAAACATGGGTCACGGCAACGCCCTATTGGCTATTTTTCCTGCATGCTTGACCCTGTTGCGAGGGGTAGCCCCTCTTGCCTCAGAGCGGTGTTTGCCGCCAGCGCCCTCCTAGACAAGACAAATGATTTTGTTCTTGGCCATCACCTCACAGTGTTGGCCCCTCATGACATTACTGCAATCCTGCAACAAGTTCAACTTAAACACCTTTCCTCCCAACGTCACCTCCGTCTGCAAACCTCCTTACTTCTACCTGACAATGTGAAACTCCAGAGATGTCTTTCCCTGAACCCAGCCACTCTTCTGCCACTTCCCAAGGGGGGAGTTGTGCATTACTGGTATAGCCTGGATATCAACCCAGAGGTCCGAGCAGATTTGCAGCTGCCTGCACTTGCACCTCCACATGATGAACAATCAGAGGCCCTACTTCACTGTACCTTGTGGTTTAAGGACGTACCAGGCTCTGATATGAACTATGAGGAAGAATTATTCCAGCTTAAAGAAATTCAAATTACCCTGACTGACTTATTCTGGGACCCCACAGGTACCATGCTCATCTTAGTCCATCTTCCAGAGAATGTAACACATCTCTATCATCATTGGGAAACAGCTATCCCACACATATCTCTCACCAGATCCCCCGACACCTCATGGAAAGACCTAGGCCCGATGGCCAAAACCTGGAGCCAAATGACCCAAGAACAACTGACTTCTACGGGGATCAACAAAAAGACTATTAACTACTGTACAGAAGGGTACCCAAGGTACCACACAGAAGCCTGTGAAGATCCACTAACCACAGACTGTGACCTAGATATTCCTCATGATTGTTTTGAACAAATGAAAATGGAAACTACACACCTACCAACTGTCTATGAAGCTGCATTACTCAACCCGGATCAAACACTATTTGTGGATGGGTCAAGATTTGCTGATGAACAGGGACAATATCACACTGGGTATGCAGTCACCACAGGATGTCAAGTATTACAAGCAGCTGCCCTACAACCAGCTAAGTCTGCTCAAGAAGCCGAGCTAACAGCCCTGACTGTGGCCTGCAAATTGTCTGAAGGTCTACGTGTCAATATTTACACGGATTCAAGATATGCCCTGGGAGTAGCACACGATTTTGGCTTAATTTGGAAGACCAGAGGATTTCTTACGGCTACCGGTACCCCAGTAAAGCATGGGGCAGCTATTGCAGAACTGATGGATGCATTGGAACTCCCAGCAGAGGTGGCAGTACTGAAAGTAAAAGCCCACGGAAGACTAGACACAGAGGAAGCACGTGGCAACCACTTAGCTGATCAGGCAGCTAAGGAAGCAGCACGGCAAGGATGGGAAGTGGACAGAAGAGTGGCCATCTACACATCTACACTATGCAAACATTGCCTACAGATCTTAGGCTTCTGAAGGAACAACAAGCTGCTGCTACTCCCCAGGAGAAACAAAGTTGGAAGAATAAAGGAGCTGTACTCCGTGATGATGTTTACACCATCAATCTCAAGTTCTGTTTACCCAGAAGTATGTACTCAGCGGTGGTCCAATGGGCCCATGGGCCAGCCCACCTGTCAAAACTCCTGAGGAACTCACTAATTGACAAGTATTTTGAAGCACCAGGCATCACTACCTTAACACAGAATTACTGTAAATCTTGTACTATATGTGCTAAATGCAATCCTGGAAAGATCATAAAGACCGCACCTAATCACCTAGCTAAACCACAATACCCCTTCCAGAGGATCCAGATTGATCACATTCAGATGCCAAAGAGTGGACGTTATGAATATGCATTGGTCATAGTGGACATGTTTTCAGGATGGCCAGAGGCCTTCCCAGTGACTAATCTCACCGCGAGGACTACAGCCAAGTATCTTTTGACAGAAATTGTTTGCTGCTATGGAGTTCCAGAAGTAATTGAAAGTGACCAAGGGACCTCCTTCACTGCCTCGCTAACACGGGAAGTCTGGTCAGCACTGGGGGTGACCCTTGCATTCCACACACCATACCACCCACAAAGTAGCGGTAAGGTAGAACGCATGAATGGCACTTTGAAAGCCAGAATGCTTAAGATGTCACAAGAAACTAACATGCCCTGGCCCGAGAGTCTCCCACTAGCGTTATTTAGTGTAAGGTACACTCCCAGAGGAAAATATAGCTTGTCACCTTATGAGATTTTGTTTGGTACAGCACCCAGGTTAGGTTGCTACTTTCCCCAACAGCTTCAGATTCAGTCAGATGCTATGGTAGACTATGTGACTGCCCTCTCACATGCCTTGACCAAGATACATGCCCAAGTGTTTTCTTCTATTTCAGATC